CTGTGAGATGCAGTGGTACGCGTAATTCTAGAATCACCGTCGACTCACTCATCCAATCTCGATGACAACCATAGATAATTCGTTGAGTATCTTCCAGATGTGTGCTTAACCAGATGGTGATGTTGGACAAGTCACATGTTCTTTAATTATTGTGGACTATACGATGGAATGATATACGGTTCGTTATACAATTGTGTAGATTTCGAAATCAGCTTTTCTTTTATTAGTCAGATATTGTATAAATATTCCACAACCCATGCCTGTGATCCTGTATATTGCTTTTGACAATTTTGTCATTATAATTATGCTGTTACTAATTTTAGTGGCGTAACGTGGTGCTAAACCGGGGGGGGGGTCTAATTCGGTAAACGAATAACGATTTATATGTTAGGTTTGCCAGTGGAAATGGTCTCTTTTGAGGTCATTCGTCTGTGGTTCATGTTCTACAAATGGCCCCTCGCAGCTATGCCACTGACGAATATATCTTAGAACGTAGGAACATAATCGAGTGGCACTGTCGCTTAGGACATGGGCATAGCGTAAAGAGAGAGATAGTTGTGACACGCGCACGCGCACGCGCACGCACTCAATATTTAATTCAATTTACAATCTCTATATGGAGGAACTATTTCAGCACTTCATGAATTGAACCTTGAGTTAGGGCGCTTGCGCGGGTCACAACTATCTCTCTCAATACGGTATGGGACATGGATGATACCACCTTCATTTCATCACAAATCTCTCATTTACCTTTCTTTTCTCATTCTTCTAGTTTTCCCCTTTTCTCTAAATATATATTTACGCCACTGCCCCCCCCCCCCTCTTCCATCAATACTTTCAAAGAAGCTTACTGAAGGTGACAACACCATCTCATTTCCATTCACACGGAGAAAATTCGATTATGGGGTATCATGATTCTATGAAGCTTTCAACGAAAGCTCTCAATTTCTTACATGACTGAACAATGGGATGACAAATGTTTGATATGTGACAGGTATGCGGAAATGAAAACAAGCGTGTTGTGTTTTCTTGCTCTCAATTATGAGTTTATTTTTGGCCCATCTTCTTTGTTGTTGTTGTTTTTGCTGTCCTCCTCTCTCACTCTCTCTCTCTCTATCTATCTATCTATATATCTATCTCCCTCTTCCCCTTCTCCTGCTATCCCCTCCTCTCTCTATCTCTCTAGCTCCCTCTCTCTCTCTCTCTCTCTCTCTCTATCTATATATCTATCTCCCTCTTCCCTTCTCGTTCTATCTCCTCCTCTCTCTATCTCTCTAGCTCCCTCTCTCTCTCTCTCTCTCTCTCTCTCTCTCTCTCTCTCTCTCTCTCCTTCTCTCCTCTCTGTCATGACTGTATATCATCAATTCCTTCTCCATAGACTTTTCATTTTTGAAGCATTTTTTTAATTATATCGTCGTAAGTTGTATGAGTACCACGCCACTTAATACCGTCGCTTATGGTTTACTAGAACCTGATTTTGATGCTTGAATTATCAATGAATTGATGACATATCCCAATTCATATATCAGAGAAGAGAGTGTTATTAATCATATTTTCCCAAGCTTTTCTTAGAAACTGACATTTAACTGATGTACTACATTCACCTTAATACAAACATTCTACATGAGCTATTATTGATAATCTCATCATATATACTAATTCAGCTCAGTTCAATTGAGTTCATTACGTTCCGTTCATTAATTTATTTTTAAAGCCTGAATTAGCCCTGTGAAACAAATCTCCGTGATTAAATAAATCAAGATTGTGTAACTAACTTTATACGAAATTCTTTTCAATGGTAGGCCTAATGGTTCAACTTCTCATCTGCAGAAATATTGGGCGTAGATAATGTACTCGAAGAACCAACGTAGCTCTATGCACATTACGCAAACTATTTCGATGGTGCCAACGCCAATTAATAGAACCCCTGCACCTCTGGATGTATATACAGAAAACCAAACATTTGCCAAGTTCACCGCAATGATTGAAACTGAATAGCGTCGATGACAGAACGAGAAACCAAACTTTGTATCGAGTGTGCCATAACACAGTCGCACTGATGTACAGGAAGAGTTGTCTACGGCCAAATGCGGTTTTCACACGGTGGCGGCTATTTCATATTCATCACTGTTCTCCTGTTGATCATAAATGCGTTCGATATTCAATGAACCCATTTTAACAGACTGATATTCTGCATTGTTTTCACTGATGTACGAGACCCGCATTTAAATGGCACCATCATTGTGTATATCTACTGTAATTGCTTTAATTTTAGTTGATGATTTTTTTTCGTTAAAGATGGTGCATGACAATATCCTGACATATTAGATAATATACTTAAATGATTTGCGATAGTCGTTATTTGATAGAAAACATGTAATATTTTAATTGAAACGAAACAAGAACAATATAAATTTAGAGCAATGACAGACTATGTTCTCTTGCGAAATATGACCATAAAAATAATGTACAATGTTAGGGAAACGGGTGAGGATACCAAGCGGGGTATAAACCGTGGAATGGGAAAAAATCAAAGTAAAGGGGGCATGGGAGGGGGGTATGTGTAGTTCCCTCTTTTATTGCGTTAAAACTTGTGTTTTAGATGAAGTTTTTTAGTTTAATTTTCCGTAAGCTAAGTCAGTGTGTTCACATCTTGAGTAGAAAACAGTATAACAATCATCGTTATCATCACGTTAATACTGTAACCTCCACCATCATCACCACCGTTATAATCTTGGTCATCATCGTCATCGTCACCATCACCACCACCATCATTAACATTATTATTATAATTGTCATCGTCATCATCAACATCATCATCACCACCACCACCACCATCATCAATATCATCATTCACCACCACCACCATCACAATCATCACTACCACAACCACCATCACTGATACTACTTATACTACTACTACTACTACTACTACTACTACTACTACTACTACTTCTACTACTACTACTACTACTTCTACTACTACTACTACTACTACTACTACTACTACTACAAACACAGAAAGTGTTGAATCCACCACCACCACCAGAACCACCGTCATCACCATCATTATCATCACTTTCTGTTCTTGAAATGTTTAACTATATCATTCCCTGTGTCCCGGCTGGCTCGCCCTGTCTCTCCTTTCGCTCGCCCTGTCTCTCCTGTCCCCTTCTCTCTCTCTCTCTCTCTCTCTCTCTCTCTCTCTCTCTCTCTCTCTCTCACTCACTCAATCCATGTATCTGTCTATCAATGATTTATTTCTTCTTTCACACACTCTCTCTGTCTCCAACTCTCTCCATTTGTGTTTCACACCGCCTCTGCTCTCGCTCGCTCGGCTATGTATTACCGACATCGATCCCATTTGTATCCCTTTTCCACCCGGGGCAATTTGCATACGTTGTCGATCTTTAATTACATTTAACACTTACTCGTTGATAAACAGGTCTTGCCGATGTTGCACGCACTGGGGACCTACTGGTTAACCAAGGTTGCCAACATATATTTCGTCCGAAATTCGCCATGAGATTTGCAATGCGTAGACAAATTCAGAAGCGATGTTGTGATGCTGTACTGCGATGTCTGCATTATATTCTAGACATAATGAACCAAGTTAAATTGAGAACATAGAAATGTATTGCTGTAGCCCCAGATGTATTTCTTTCGTACATAGTGCAGTATATCTGATATACAGTAAGTTGTACACAGCCCCGTTCCTCGCGATTCAAACTCCAAGCTGTTGTTATATTTTTTTTCCCCGAGAGAAACGAACATAGCATGAACGGGTTAAAATCACATTATCATTTGTTTGTGAATGCAGCCACTTTGTGTGTAGTTCATAGAAGTTGCTCAATCTTATTAAAACAATACAAATAAAAGATATTCTGCAATAAATTCAAATTTGGTTCGTGATCAATCTTATACAAAGGGATATCAAAAAACATTTTCAACAGAAGGTTACCGAAATATTCATACATTACAAAATACATCAAGTGTTGAACATTCATTTATTTTGGTGCAAATCAATTGAGATGTATGTGCATGTGAACTACCAGGATACAGATCTAACAAAAGCAAGCTATTAACTCTTTGACTCCTGGAACCTAGTGGCTCCTGTATTCAACATATGCGAATTAAACAATTCAGGAATCAACGGGTTAACCATGCTCACTACCGATGAGCCAATTTGACAGAAACAGAAATTTGATTTTCTCCACATGCAGGCAACCTTTCGACCACACTAGCATTCGTGTTCTACCAGACAGCAGGAAGAAGCTCTCCCCGCAAAAAGGGCGCCAATTGTGCGTTTATCAAACTGGGTGCATGTTCTTTTCGTAGAGGAAACAAAAATGTGGAGCGAAGTTCTCCTCTTTCTGGCCTTTTTGTCTGCCGCGATTCATCAATCTTTAGGATTTGGTAAGTGCTTTAATAATTTTTTTCCTACCGGGGATCTCGGTTTTCGGCTTTGTCATGATTTTATGCAGCTTCTTTCACCTGTTTTAGGCCTACTATTATAGTACGGGACTCCAAATTCATGCGTCTTTTTTCAGGCTAAATTGATAAATTTAAGTTGTATCTATGTTATAATCCTTTCAAATTCATTACCCAAACAGACGAAATCTTTTCTTAAGGTCATTTGAATTCTTCTTGTGGTGGAAAATAATCACCGAATCATACAAAACTCGAAATCAGGGATGAAAGAGATACTGCCTAAGAATATTTGTAGAGAATTCTGCAGTAATGAGTAACGAAAGATAAGAAAAACTGAAAAATTGAAAATAGTAAGAAAGAATCATAACTTTTTGCTGTCTATTTTATTTTTTGAATATTAATCAAAGCTCTGTAATTTGTTCCCCCTCCCCTCCTGTCTATTAACAGCGGTGGCATTACGAAAGCTGCAATGCGATTCGGGATTCTACAAGTACCCCTCGTGTGCGGACACACCAGCCGGGTACTGGTGCGAGTGTGGAACTGGCTTCGAATGGAACAGCAACATTTGCATGAGTAAGATTGGTCAAGTTTAATTTATTTATTTTATTTCGTTTTATTCAACAGGGTAGCCCCATCAGTAGTTAAAAAAACTGTTATACTTGGGGGCCCTGCCTAGCATAAAAATACATTTGAAGACATACATAAATATACATTCTCCTTTTTCCAGTGGAATACATGTAAATAAATGCAGTGAGTTGTGGTATCACGACAAAATATCAGCGATATACACATGTATGTCATTCGAGAAATATTCATTCTCATGAAAAATTACACAAATCTCAGATTTCCATTATTAAAGTCGAGGTACATGTGATATCATAATTATTGTGTTTGACCGTATTGGAACAATAGAGGGAAACCTGTGTATAAAGACCACCCAAAGGAGCCAACACAAGTGGTCTTATGAGGAGGTGGTCTTGACGTACAGGTCTCTGTAATACATGATTCAATGAAAAACAGTTCAAGGGAAACACAAATGTGGTCTGTATAGACAGTTGGTCGTTCTATACAGGTGGTCACTCAGGCAGGTTTGACTGTATTATACTGCTGCAACTCTATTGTTCCTGCGATATGATCAAATAATTATGAATAGATCATGACGATAGAGACGTCCCCACATCCTAACAAATCACCGTATATTCTTGCCTTATCGCCTTCCTGTAGCTGAATCAGTAGACTCCCGCCTGGACTTCAAGCAAGATTTATCAAGCTACGCCATCATCCTGGGCAAGAATATGCCTCTCTTTGAAGCATTCACAGTCGCTGCCTGGGTTAAGGTCGAACAAAATGTAAGTACTTCTTCAATCAGAGGGACGGTTTATAACCGCTTTACTGTAATAGTATAGACGATATTGTCTTGGCGTCCAAGAGCATTTTCTTACTAATTTCTTAAGTACCCCACAAAAGATGCCGGCGACGCCTCTGTTCAACCCAGCATGTTAAGAACATGCTACAGGGGTAATTACGTCATAAATAACGTTTACTTGTCATTAATTCAATTTCAAGCAGATTCTGTTTCAAGCCCATTCGTCACAAGCAATGTTAACATTTCAAAAGCTTCTAGGCAAAGTTCCATAACATAACTTGGGAGCGATCAGGATTGTATGTGCTGTCATTTCCTGTGACTTTATAATAAAAATGCATCAATTTAAAATGTGTTTTTATTTCTTGCTCATAATTCTCGACGACAACTAGGTGACCAAGAACGAGCCTACTCTGATCGCCTACTCTGTCGGGATGGAGAACCAGTTTCACATCAACATCGGCAACGAGTTCATCATCGGCATTGGGAAGAACAATCCTCAGAAGACAAGGAACTGGGGTCTCGAGGTCGGCAAGTGGATTCACGTGGCAGTTACATGGGATAGAGGTAAAAGAAATGCGAGCGTCTTTAGTCAAACAGGGGCGTCTGTAAAGGGGTGTTGGGGTGCGATACCCTTCCTATTGAGAAACTGTTTTAGCCAAACATTTATATTTAGTATGTTTTAAAAAAAAATCGAAAGAGTTCTTTGGTCAAAATAATGAAAACAGCCCTTGAAAAGTTTTGCCCTAAATTTGGTGCAACACCTCAAATTCAAAATTGTCGAGCGATTATCGATATGTGTATCGACTTCGTTTTGTTGCTGTTGAAAAAGAGGGACATTGATATGTAGTAAGAAGAGCTTATTATGAATAAAAAGATGTTTACCTGAAAGAGAGATATGTGTACAAAGGCTATCATTACTACTATGATGGTGTCGACATGTCCTTGTTGAAATTATCCGAGCAGTTTCCATCATGTTAATGATCAGTGTAATGTAGGTATATTTTTAAGGGATAACGAGTCCATATCTCCAAAACCTAATCTCTTCCACTTTAAACCCTCCTCTCCCCCCCCCCCCCCCCCCCCCCCCCCCCCCGCCTCCCATCCAGATGGATCGTGGAACCTCTACAAAAACGGCGTCCACAAGGCAGGCAACAACAAACTCCCGATCGCCGATCACCTCAAAGCCGGAGGGGAGCTCACAATAGGTCACATGATCCATCGCCTGACCAATCATAGCATCGGGTTCCGGGGCCAGCTGAGTCACGTGCACTTGTGGGATCAGATCTTGAACGTGACATACCTACAGAATATAGCCAGCGACTGCACCTTTACGTACTGCGGGAGCGTGGCCGAATGGGTGGACTTTAGGAGTGGCACGAGGGGTACGTCCAAACTGCGCTGGCCCTCGGGAGTCTTTGGTAGGTAAAAACTTGAGTTGAAGGGATTGGAATCTTTGTCTCAGATTCTAAACGAAATCCTTAATTGAGCTCATGCTGCAATCATAATTATAAACCTTTCGGTTAGTCATGATGTTTATAAGCCGATCGCCCGTTTGATTGTCAAGATAGTTATGATTAGAATTCGAAATTTCAAAAACCGTTTTCCCAACGATTTTTAAAACACAGTCTATTGGGGAAATGAGTATGGTAAAACCGGTCACTCAAAGATGTTTATTTGTTCGAGGCACTTCATGATCATTTTGAAGCGCAATTTTGTATGGGCTTGAATATTACACCATATCACAGACGCTGATAACACGTAGGGCCATGCACCTTAGATTTGGCACCTGCAGTCACAATGCTAAACCAATTCCAAACATATTTTAAACCGACCGATTACGGCCATTCGGTGTATTGCATTTCGTTGTTCGGTCTTTTATTGGTCTCGTCAGTGTGGTTGAGGTGGTACGGTGGACATCAAACCTTAATTACCACTTGCTCTGAAGGAATACAGAACAACAGAACAAAACAAAAACAGTTTGGACGAAATAGGATCAGTAATATAACATAAAAGGTAGGGGCCTATTCGAAAATTGGAGATCACAACAGTTATCCCTGTTTGTGACGATTTCGAATAGGCGATTTAGTAATATCATTATGATTTAAGCTCGAACAACTCTCATATTTTCTCGAAGACAAAAAAAGGACTTAAATATATCCTGCCTAAAATCTTTTGTTGTACAGGATATTTTCCCTTAAATAACATATAACGATATATAAATGATGATTTATATATTAAGTACAGTCCTGAGAGAAAATTTGATCAAGAAAAAAAATGAAAATGAAGTTTGTCTACGAAGAACATACGTCACAATCAAATTGCCAATCCACCAATTTTAACCAATGATGTTCGCATCATTACGGTGATATAATAATTAAATAAAGAAAAGAAATGGAATTTCTACTTTTGTCTTCTTCAGACGAGTGCGTTGTCAACAAGGCAGAGACATGTGATAGTCATTGCAGTCAAACAAATGGTATGTATGACAATTGCAAATGCTGCAATATTTATTTCCTGGTCTAATATGCATGTATTTGGAAAACATTAACAGGGATACGATTATGAGAAAAAAATTACCTTTATATAAAAATGCATTTGGAATATTTCTACTAGGAATCTTATTTGTCTAATAGAGTTTTTAAGGTCACGGAACTTGTAGAAACATATTATCTACGCAGTAAGTATACTACTACCACTACTTCTACTACTACTACTGCTACTACTGCTACTGCTGCGGCTGCTACTACAGTGTACTACTTCTAATGAGAATAATATTACTAAATTTCCTACTTCTACAATTACTACAACAAAAACTACTACAACGATATCAACAAAAAATACAACAACAACAAAATTACTACTAATACTACTACTCATACTACTACTACTACTACAACAACTACTTCTACTTATAATAATGATGATAATAATGATAATGATATTATTAATAATAGTAACACATGTATTATGCTAATGGTAACAATAATAATAATCAACGTTTTTCCATTCTGTCCACAGGTCCACAATGCAATCAAGAGTATGCCAGGAACATACTTTGGCCTCGTACCCCTACTGGACACAACTCAACTAGACCCTGTCCAGGTATATCATCAGGTAAGCTTAGAAATATATTATCACGCAGTCCATCATAAATAGTGTGACGTATAAACCCCCCCCCCCCCCCCCACCCCCGGCTCCGTAAATTCATAACTTCCTTATTGGTTATCCGATTTTAATCATTATTTTTGTTGTTGCTCTTTTTTTCTTTTTTTCTGCATCTAATAAAACAAATTATTTTTGGAGTGGAATTAACCTTTTAGGGATCCATCTAAAAGTCGTATAGAATGATCAATATAAAAGTAATGAGAGTATATAAATCGTATATATCTTATCATAATCATTTAATGAAAAAGGTAAGAAAAAAAATCCGACTTTATGGGCGACAGTGTATGATTAAGCCTACGCCTAGTAGCCTACCGCCTGATCATAACTGGGTCCGAACGAACGAACAAATTATTCCACATGTCTTCTTTTTTTCCCTTCTGTTTGTATTTTGCTCTACATTCCTGACCTCTGACTATTTTGTTTACAAGGTTTTGCAATGCGGATGTGCATGGAAGAGGAGGGTCTGGGAGTGTGGAAGGAGGCCAACTTCTCGACCTGTGTTTCGTCTGACCTACGGGAACTTAAACGCGAGGTTCGTACTATATTCGAACTATATTCGTACTATATTCGGACTATATTCGTACTACAATTGTACTATATTAGTACTATATTCTGCTGAGGGCCAATAGGAACTCGTTTAAAGAGGCTATGAATTCACATCTTTCTGACTCTAGCCAGACAATAATCATCTGTTTAATGATGATGTTGATGATGATGATGATGATCTCGATTAGCAGTATTTAATGCATAGTTGATGGTATATACTTTTTTATATTGACCCCAATGATTAAATTCATATTCAAACAATGTGTGCACTTTCTCCTTTTCTTTGGGAATGTCACTATAACCTTATCATTATGTTCATCGAAATGAAACAAAATATGCTTAACTTGTTACGACAAAATAATATGTTAATTTGATTTTATCATTATCAAAAGGTCACTGGCATGTTTCATGATATCTATAAAATACTTAATTTAGTTGAACATGTATTAAATGAATAGACCAGTTTAACGGTTAGCACCTGTCCCAAATGACCCCCACAGATCTTTAAAACATGAAGAGGTCACACTTTGTAAATTTTGAAACGATCACACCTATATCACTGGAGGTACTACATAGAAAAGCCTTTGTTTCCCCTTTTCAAAGTATACTTCCACCTGTGTATCATGGAGTGCATAGCTTGTGCATTAAAGATAAACTCCAGTACTGGTAAAAAAAATATAAAAAAATTCTTACAGAATCAAACGAAACTTACACTGAATGTTCAAGATTACAAATAAATGACATGTGCCAAACAATTTTGGAAGAAAATGTATACTGGCTGAGTAATGAGCATAGAAAGACAAGGAAATCAAGGTAGTACTAGCCCCGACACCATGTGTGTTGTCCCATATATAGCTTTCTATGTGAGTGCTTGTTACTTTACCAAGACTCGGTCAAATTTATTATGATTTTGATGACTCCAGAACCTTGCAGTGCACACCAATACTTACATGCTACATGATCAACTGTTTCTGATCCTTTCCACACCTTTTCTTTCACAATGCAATCGCATTACCAGTACTAAAGTTTATCTTTAACTAATAATGATTAAATAACTTTTATGATCAGGTATCCAGTATTTTGTCTCCGTTATTTTCACAATTTGGTCTGCAATGACCTTTATCTGCTCATGCTCAGACTGCAACCATGAACTGGCTTAAATAGAAGAGGTTGTTAACAAATCTTCATCTGTCACAACCTTCATTTATTTTTATTTATGAGCCAAAATCCTCATTTATTAACTACCATAGATTGAGGGCAACATATCCGACCTCAACATCCTGATGTACCTGGAGCGGCTTTACAACTCGACGTCGTCGAAGAAGACGAACCCGTCCGACCTATCCACCGGCATCACATGTATCCGACTGATCGTCGACGCCCAAGCGAGGGCGCTGTCTGATTACCAATGGACGGATACCATGTTAAAGTTCAACAAGAACCGACGGATACCTGCTTATCCGCGGATTGAGGAGACCAACAAATTCGTCAGGGTGAGTGTGTGCCTTTCTCCTGATTTTGCGTCCACTCATTGTTTTAAGAACATTTAGTTCCATATGTATTTATTTATTTAGTTAATCTACCACTTGTGTATTTCATGCCCTTTTTCAAGCACTAATCCTCTTTCATTTTTTTTTACTACTGCACTTCCATCTTGTATCCATGCACTTTTACCATGTTCTCCTGCTCGGTATAACGCTTTTGTTAAATATCTGAACTGTCATATCCTTCTTATTCTTTGATGTATTTATCTCTTATTTTTTCCTCACTTGTTCATTCTTCCATTTTTCCTCAGTGAAGATATATTATCTTGTTTAATATCAATCACTGAATGTAAATTCAAAGGGATGAGTTACATATACCATCACTGAAATTGAATTGAATGTTTGATTACCACGCATGACATTTTCCATATATATTCTTTCCTTCAATCATTTGGTCCAGTGGGTAACGGACACTGTCGACAATATTATTGACCAGCGAAACGAGGTCGCATGGAATGCTACACGTCCCCGGGGCGCTCAGGCCGTTGAACTCCTCGACGTCATGGAGAATTTCGTCAACCTGTTCGCGCGCAGTTTGCTACGTCACACCAAACGAGGAGATATCAACGAGTTAGAAGGACAGAAGGCGTTCGACCGGCAAAATATCGGTGAGCAGAAAATGGGTATATTATTATTATTTGTCCAGCTAAAATTATTGTGCCTTTGTTTCCAAATGGCCTCTTCCACGTTTCAATTGACTGATTAGAGTGCCTTATATGGTTGAACCCTGGAGCTCGTGTCACTTTTTCTCCCTATCTTATTTATTTCTATTTCAAAATTATCGGTCATCCCCACCGTCTCTCTCTCTCTCTCTCTCTCTCTCTCTCTCTCTCTCTATCTGTCTGTATATCCCTCAAGAATAGGAATTTTTCTGATGTTTCACACTCAGGACGTGTACAATATTTTTCATGCACAGGAACATTTTTCATATTTATTAATTTGCCTGCCATCAACGATTGATACAATTTAAAGAAAGTTGTCACTTTTTTTTACTCCAACATTAGATCTATTTACCTCATTTTAAAAAAAATTGTAAAGTCCGTTTCTATTAATGGAAATAGTTTGTATTATTGTTACTCTCATTTTTTTTCATTATTCCAATTGTTATTACAGCTAAGCCATTTACGTGGAAACAAACCGTCGCAGTTTGCTAGATCTTATCGTCTATGAATACTCCTACACAACAATGCTACTGACCCGTATCCAAACAAACTATGGATTCTGTTTGCATTCTTGGACAAAGTTTCTTATGTTTTTCATTTTCCATAATTATGTTTCCGTTATATTGTCATTATATCGCAGCCATTTACGTGGAAACCGTCCGTCCGATAGACTTTACCGGATCTTTCTTCCCCGACGTCGCCAAACTTAGTATGTCATCGATGAACTCAGATGAGGGAAGGGGTGTAATACCCGACACACTCTTCGATGACTTGGATAGTGACCTGCAAGGTATTTGTTATGCTTTTTCCTTAAAGGGATTGGGTAACTATGTCTCAAATTCTGAAACAAAATCCTGGATTTAGCTCAAGCTACATTGATAATTATAAACCTTTAGGTCAGTCAGGAACCTAATGACTTTTACAAGCGGAACGCCTGTCTGATTATCAAGATTTTTATGATTGGAAATCGAAATCATATTGTGCGTTTTCCTAATGGTTTTCATAAAACTACAGTCTATTGGGGAAAACGAGTATGGTAAAGATTTTTACTTTTTTGAGGCACTTCATGATCATATTACACCTTATCACAGACACTGATAATACGTAGGGCCATGCATCTCAGATTTAACATTGTTACACGATGCCTTTAAAACTGAATTTTATCAATTCAAAATATCTTTACATACTGTAGGTGGTTTACCCATTTAACAGGCACAGATATAAATAACGATGGTATCTATTTAAACAAGTAAATAAGGTTAAAAACGCCCTTCCATAAACATACACTAAAAACTGACTTTTCAGATTGTCAGATGAATTCCAAATAGATTTGACACACATCCAGTATTCAAAACAAAAGTGTCATACATTCATGTAGAAGAGCGCTGTTAGATATTCATTCTGTTTTTCTTAAAGAGATTTTAACAGAACCTATTATTTAGCTCCATCTTACCGCCGAAGTGTTTCGTGACATTTTGCCAAAGGATATGCCATTATGAACCAGCTTGAATTTGTATCGAAATCATGTAACTTTTAGTTTCATTGAGAGTTCTCAACTTGCGTAGATAATTGTAGTTGTTTATGTATAGATACGATTTGTCAACATAGGGTGGTGAATATTGATATCTCCGCGTAAAATGATAACTGACAATAATGAATTGTATTTATTTCTTTTATTCAATCAACAGAAACCAGAATGGCTGTGTTCTACGTTCGCTATGAGAAAATTGCGAGATATTTACCAAATCACCCTGAGTAAGTATCATACTTTCTGATCACGTGTCATTGAATTTCAAAATCGTCATAATCAGTTGTTCACTTATTTGAATGGAAGGACGAGTTAATACTTTGCCACACACAAAACAGCTTTCTTTCGTTTTCTATTCTTTTGAGACGAACTTCAGCTCACTTAAATAATTGTATCATGATATGAAAGAGGATGTCAATTAAAACACACTTCTGCAACAAATTATTTTATTTTATTGATAAATAAAAGAAAGAATAATTTTTTTATTTTTTTTGGTATACGCAGAAGACCTAATTTTTGTATTCTTCCATTACTGATCGAATTCAAACGCAGTTGTTTTAAAAATCGTTGCAGAAATGTGTTTAATGACATCCTCTTTCACTTTATGATACAATGTACTATAAGTGAAATTATGCCATCAAGTTTGTTGGGCTCCCAACTTTTTAAAGGGGCTTTAACATAAGTATGCATAATTTCAGTTAAAAAAAGAATCCACGTTTCTCTGGAATGTGGTTTTGATACCTATAAAATCAAATTTAAAGGTATCACAAAATGTTGATGCTACAAAACTTGAAAAAATACAATTATTGCCTACCACACTATTTTTCTTTTTCCGCCAAAGGTTGATTAAACACTTGATCAGCCATCTTACTTTGTCTCAACGAATCCAATTATTCCAATTTATTTCATTTTTATCTGATGCAGACAAGTAATCGTAAAATATTACCGAGATAAGGAGAAAGAACATAAACATAAAGAGGACAACGTGAATTCGGTTGTCATAACAACGGGCGTCTTTGCGGAGACAGACGTCCACGACGCGTTCGCCAATATTTCCGACCCTGTCGAAGTTAATTTCAAATTTTCAGATGTAAGTTTGATTTTATTTATTCATTTTAGTGTCCATTTAATATTTTAAAGCCCCTCTGCACTAGTTTGGCCGGGAGGGATTAGACCTCCATGCAAGGTCACTGACAGGTGGTTATCTCATCAAATCAGCTCTCAATTAACATAAGACAAAGGGGACCATGGGGGACCAATGGTCACCGATTAGGCATTGTTTGCTATATAAAGGGCGCAAGTAGCCATACGTAGTGCAGTGGGGCTTTAAAAAATAATCCATGTACAGACGTTCAATCCGATTGCTTTTAGTTGAATGATAGAGCATAACATTTTGGTTAATATTTACGTCATATTTGCTAAGCGAGATTAAAAGATACTTAACATATTAAACTCTTTAATTTCGTTACTTAAAATTTACGCAAAACTACTTGTGACTCGTAAAATTAAACATTTGTTTTAAATTCACGCAAGAGTATATCGTTTTACATTTTTATATCAGTCTGTCTTTGTGTATAATAATCATTCATATAGTTTGCATTTTTTCACTAATCAACAAGAAACGTTAGTCTGAATTAATTTACTATTGTTTTCCCTTAAACTTTTCAGACATTCAACATTTCAAATCCAGAATGTGTTGCTATCGACATACAAGGCGGGTAAGTTAATATTGAAATATTCCTATATTATTCAACTCATCTACTAACCATTGCTAAAAAAAATGACGAAAAAAATAATATTTTCATACGTGAACTTATCATGTATACTTTGTAAAATTTTATAGCAGTGTGACAATGATAACAAGAACTTATGATTATTTTTTATTATTATTATTTTTTTATTTTTTTTAGAGAGGTGGTTATAAAGCGCTGTGCTGAAAGGTTCAACACAACAGCAAACCAGCCCTCCCCTTTTCTTTCACTCATGTATTCAGATTAATGTTGTCTATCTCACCCTCTTTTTTCTACTATTACGTAATAATAATAGGAATGTCCAAATGAAATTAATTGTGTTTTTTGGTGTAAAAATGTTGTCTATTTAATTGATACTTTTTTTTGTTTTGTTGTTAGACCCAATGATTGGCATTGGCGTACCTCTGAATCCACTAACATGTCGTCCGAAGGCGAATTCGCCTCCTGTTTTTATTACCAGCTCGGTACGTTCGCTGTCACCACAGACATGTATAACATCAACGTAAGTCATGATCATGTCGTCCTTTTTGGCATTAAACCTCTTGAAAATAATAGTAATATTTTAGGTGTGTACAAGAGTAGCATTCAAAGTTTAACTCGATAGTAAAATTAAAAACATAAAACGCCTATTCTCAATTACCAATGTGTCTTCTCTACAAAATTTGATAGTTTTTTGTTTAAATCACTTTGAACACAGTTCTGTACATGTGAAATTTAATCAACTAACTCCTCCCTTTCTCTTTCTCTGTTTGTAATCTATGCGTAATACAAGTCGACTATATATGTCAGGCGCGGATCCAGGATTTCTTAGGGAGGGGGCCCAACTTTTTTTTTTTTGCTCCCGAAAATTCGCTCAGTGGGGGGGGGGGGGGTGGGGGGGTGGGGGGGGGGGGGGGGGGGGGGGTACAGAGCACATTTTTTTTTTTGGATCCGCCACTGATATATGTATATTGAGTTTCAAGCTATTGAAATGGTACTACAGTCATTTGCCATTACTTTTAATCCGTAAATAAATGTATATATATATGTTTATTTTTTTTCTTTTATGTATTTCTCTTGAAGTGTGGTTAAATATGGGATTAGACTTGACAGGCTAATGGCTGGCCTTTGTTGATCCTTTGCGTCCACCTCCCTTCATCCTTCTTTCATAGTGCCATGTAGGCCTACATAAATGTTGTTATATTTATATTGTTTAGTTTATACTGATTTGTTTTAATATCTTCTGACGTGTTTTTAAAGATGTGTGAAATAAGATTGAATTGAATTGAAGTGAATTGAATATATTTTACTTATATTTTGTTTGGTGATGATGTAGTGGGATCCCGGAGAACCTCCCCGTTTCGTGATGACTGCAGCTGGTTACATTGGAATCCTCGTTCTCATCACAATGCTCATTATCTCTCTATCAGTCTTCTTCTATCTCAGGTCAGTAATAGTCTGCCACAGGCGTGTGGGCGCAATCCTACATAAAAGGGGGGTGATGGGGTGGTGCGGGTGATGGGGGTGGTGCCTCTACCCGGATAATATTCTTCAAGTGTCTATACAATATTTTCAAAGTGTTAATTCGTCATCAAATATACTAGGTATTTGATGTATTAAAATGTATTATTAGACCACTTTGTTTTATGAATATGACGTAGTGGTTGCATGAATACAGTTCATTTCAAAATGTCTTGGTGTGCTGTAGCTCATCAGCCCCCCCCCCCCCCCCCCCCCCCCCCCCCCACAAGGTTTCAATTTCCTTTGCACTCAAATAATCATCCTAGATTTTAAAAAATAACCAAAGGCTTTGGTGATAAGACTACTATTATGTATTGTTGATCGTATGGTTAACAATGATTAATGGTGGGCTTTTTTAAAAACCAAATTGAAATGTATTGAAAATAATTATAGCTTGACGCGTGGAGCAGTCTTCTTTGGACCGATTAATTTAAATTTTCCCATTGATGGATTTGCCGAGAGACCCTTTTTTTTTAATTTCTTAGCAAAGTGAAATCTAATGAAATGTCACGACATAGTATCTTGACATTGGTAGATATGAATTGTGGTGAAGTTTGTTTATTTCGCGTTCCGTGAGGCGCGATGGCTCAGTGTCAGAGCATTGGTCTCTTAACCGGGAGGTCCCGGGTTCGTAGCCTTATCGATGCGCTAGTGCCCTTTGGTAAGGCATTAATCCTCGCTACCAAGTCTCCAGGAGACGATTTAAAGCCGTCGGTCCCCTAGTAGCATGCACAGGCCATCTTAGCAGTCAGATGAAATAAACCAACCAACCTCTTTCTCCACAGGTGTACGACTGATACAGTAGCGGTACATCGTAACCTGGCTGTATCGTTGATTGTCCTCCATCTTCTTTTCATGATTGGTATCACAAGACAGGAGAATGCTGTAAGTTTAACGATTTAAAAAAAATCAATTTCCCAAGGCAGGGATAATGCTATAAAAGGGGAAAGGGTTTGTCATCCACCTGTTGTTTCACTAATTGTGTTTTTAATTGTGTTCTTTTAAATTTCAAAATCTGCAGTGAGTGCAGTCATGCGCGTACGCATGAAGGTTAGTTTGTGCACTGTACCTTTTCTTGAATCGAGGCCTAATGATAAGGTCAAAGTTCTTATTTATCATTAACGAAAGAAGCCTATAAAGCAAACAAATGTTCGTTCTCTTCTAGCATACGTATATTAATGAAAACCTAAGGTTTTTAATCATTTTAACATAAAGCTTTACAGCATTAACTTGTTACACTTCCATGTTCATCATTCTGCTTTAATAGTGTTTGACTCAAATTCCCTTTTCCCCCACCTACGTTATTTGCAGACTGTTTGCAAGATATTTGCCATCTCGATCCACTTCTTCTTCACGACGTCCTTCTGTTGGATATGCAACGAGGCGTTCAATCTCTACATCGAAGTAGCAAATTCCATACACTCCGACCAACAGCAGCAAAGACCTATGCTGCGCTATTACGTCATCGGTTGGTGTAAGTATTATGTGTTATAAAATGGGTCTAGTAGTTTAAGCATCGTGATTGGTAATTACGCGTCACATGACATGCACCTATTTTTTATTCATGCGTTATCTCTCACTCCCTATAATCAAGGCTTAGTGCATCCATTAGTATTTCATCACAACGTTTTAATCGCTCATTTTCGAGCACTTTTTGGCGCGAAAAAGATCGCGTCACTTGCCTACGCAGTACTGCGTCGGAAAATGACAGAAATCAGGCAAAATAATGATGTTTGCATTATGTCTTTTCATAGATTTACTAGCGTGATAATAACGAAATAAAAATGACGCTTCGTGTGCAAGACCTTTAATAATACATGGTAGAACTTCGCATTGCCACAGTATTATAACTAATTACTGTCTATGCTATAATGTTACATTAAAATATTATAATTATGCAACAACGCTTTCTTGAACGAAAAGCAAAGCAAAACAAAACAAAACAAACCATCGCGGATACTAAATACTTTGTATATATATGTTAATACATTTTCTTACTTATTGTTTATTTCTGTTATGAATTTATGTTCAAGATTTTGTAATTAATATTATTATCATATATATATATATATATATTTGTTAAACTATAATGTACCTCATTATGTTTAACAGGGCCTCATGGAAACCACCATTATTGGTGATAATGAGTCACCCTGTCTAAATATCAGAAATAAATAAATAAATAAATTGTATTGACTTCAATATGACGTAGAAATCACATGAAAAATCATTGAACAAATTATTGCTCTAAAAGCATTTTCTTCTTGTGTTCTTGTTACAGTCGTTCCAGCTGTCCTTGTCTTTGCGCTGGTACAAAGCAAGTGGGAAACCTACTTCTCCCCGGATGTGTAAGTTTGGAAATCGATCTCTCCATAAATATGTAGTTTGTATTTTCTTATAACTGCCCCATCGTAACAATTGTATTTTATCTGTTATGTCGCTTATACTTTGATTTTGATTTGATTTGATTTGATTTATTTATTTCTGTTTGATTTTCTTTTTCTTTTGTGTTTTTAAAAAATGTTTACAAAATTGTATAAGGCCCATCAGCCTAAATTCTTTGTTCCCATATTACGATCATTCTAGGTGTGACAAAACAAGCAGGACAAAAAAAGTTACTTACATTCTTGGTTGGTTGGATTTTGAAAGTGTGATAATTCAGCTCTAAATTATGTGATTTCCTAGGTGCATAGCTAAAACAAGCATACCTGACTTAAACAGTTAATTTTATATTCTTTCTACTCTCTATCTCTCTCTTTATTTGCCTGACTTTCTAGATGTTTCATCAATTTTGATCACATATGGCTTTTCGCTGGACCTGCAGGAGGCTTCTGGGCCGTAAGTCACTTTAAAAGATTTATTTTTATTATTAATAATACAAAGTCCCGTAGGCTTATTATAAAACGTCATCCTTTTTTTTCTCATAACCAAGAGCGTAATAGCTGCATTGACACTGCAACCAGAATTCGTCGTTTTTCTCTCATTCCAGTGTGGAAAATCGAAATCGAAAAATTTACCTCTGGAGTGTGGTTTTTTCCACCGATTTTTCCACCGATTTTTGCAGTGTGAATGCAATCTTCGGTTAGACTCCAGTTTTGTTAACCTCTGGAGTGTGGTTTTTCCACCGATTTTTCCACCGATTTTTGCTGGCGTGACTCTCTTCGCTTTCGTGCTGACTCATGCAGGGCACCGACGAGTGGTGGTATGAGTAAACCTCGACGGTTTTTTTGTTTAATGGTTTTTCCAATAGTGTTAATGGTAGTCCCCCCCAATCGACGATATTTCAAAATGGTGCTCGGGACGTGTAAACGGGCCTCCTTTATTGTATAAATATTATACCGTTATGTTTCATTTGTACCAAATAAATAGCAAATTCTCAGTTATTAGGATATGTTTCTCACATTTACCTTATACTTAGGCATTTCGGGATGACTGATGATATTAGAGTTTTTTAAAGAAAATGACCGAAACAGTTCTGTTTTGTTCACAGATCACGGTATTTGTATTGGTGTACACTGGCAAGGACATCATGGAAAGCTCGTATTCTAAAGATAAAGAGGCTAATAAAGTCATCAGGTAAGCAGTCATGCTTAGGAAGAATTGTTTGAAGAAGAAAGGAGATAGAGAAAGTGAGGAGAAAGGTGGAAAGAGACAGAGAGAGAGAGAAAGAGAGGCGGAAGTAAAGATAGAGATAAATTATTTCGAAGAGAAAGGAAGGTGGGTAGAATTTGGAAAAAGGAGGGAAAAGAGAAACAGCAAGAGAGAGGGGGAAGAGGGAGAAGGAATTTCGACCTTGTGCTTTTAGTTTCATTGCTTTCTTAGTACTTAGTTTTTTGTGTCTTACTTATAAACATTTATATATCTTATTTTATTCACAGTAACCACTGCAAAGGCTGTTGGATTCAGGTCGTTCTGATGGCCATAGCATGGGCCTTTGTAATTATCTCGGTTGATTTGTACAGTCTTGTACCGCAGATCCTTTTTGCCATGTTTTCTATACTGCAGGTAAGATTTTAACCGTTTCATAAAACTTAAATAACAAATGCTAAATGTCGATGACAAATATGCTCCAAGCCATTCAAATGCCACAATTTCAGTAGCTAATAACATTTTCTTAAACTTGTTATTGAAAACAAGTTTTATGAAACAAGGCCCCAAATTTATCAGTCAAAGGATTCCCTCTGTTGGGTTCATCAGACAACGTTTATAACCGGTTGTTCATGCCCTTGTCACACCCATAAGACCGATTCGAAACCGATAACAAACCGAACCCAAAGAATACACTATCGCTGTCGGTTAGGAGGCGGTTTGTAGTTTGTTAAGAGCACTGACTGACAGTAGGCATTGATTTTTGATTTTTTTTTTTTTTTTGGGGGGGGGGGGGGCCATGATGACGTACATGTATGATTCTTAGTATTCTATAAATACTCTAGTTCGATGATTATGATGAAATGAAAGTATATATATAAAACAGTTGCAGAGATCAATTTTGACGATTGACATCTCATTTTTAATTGTCTCTGCATAATAATGTCACTTTCATATTGTGGTGGTTATTTTACCTGACTGCTAAGAAAGCATAAATGCTTGTAAGTAAGCAACCAAACGGCCGACGACTTTAGGTCCTCTCCGAGGAACCTGGTAATGAGGATTAATGCCTTACCAAAGGGCACTAGCGCATCGACTTGGCTTCGAACCCGGGTCACCGAATTACGAGACCACTGCTCTATCGACTGAGCTATCGCGCCTCCTTAATGGCGAACTTTTTTTTTTCTGCACCAATACATGAGTACCTAAAGGATCAAGTAAATCAATTTGTGATAAGAATCACAATTCTCAATCGATTCGTGTTTTATCTCTTCAGGGGGCTTTCTTCTTTGTCTTCTTCTGTGGGCTTGACGGTGAGATCACAGAAATATTATCGGAGAGGCGCTCATCCATGGGGTTCAATGTGTCCCCGCATGGACTCCAACGGTCCACCAAGTACAGCGTGTATAGGAGATACCTTCCGCCCAGGACTAGCTCTAGAAGGTCACAGGCGCCCTCTCACATCCATAGTCCTTCGTCACATGGCAGGTAAATCAGAGGAGGATCAAGGATTCCTTTTTAGGATGTGAGGAGGGGGTGGGTGACTGACGTCCTCTTCCCCTCTTAGAGGTGCTGTGGTTTTATAATGGATACGTCACTGGTCTGTGCATCACATGCTTCACTGTTTATAGAGTCCCGCCGCTGCCTTAAAGGGTGCCTGGTCATGCTGGTATAGGAACTTATTCCTTGAATGCTCTCAGCGTATTTAGCTTCCCCTGCGATTTTGATCACAACGTGAACGTAGCATGATCAAAATCTCATTAAATTCAGAGACATTTGCTAGTATTTAAAGTCTATCTGCACTAGTTTAGCCAGGAGGGATTAGACCTCCCTGCACGGCCACTTACAGGTGGTTAAAAGGAACCATGGGGGACTAATGGTCACCGATTATGCAGTGTTTGCCATATAGAGGGCGCATTAAGTAGCTTTAATTAGTGCAGTGGGGCTTTAACTGTGTGCTTTGTGTAAACAGTCTTTATCGTAGAATTAGTTTTCCTAATTAAAGGCCAATTTTTCATTGTTACCTACTCCTTTTTCAAACAGTAATCCATACCTGACTTCGGACCTACCCCGTGAAATGCTAGAGCTTCAATCACACACGAGGGAACGAGGCGGCAGCTGGCAAGGCGGTAGCAGTGACACTAACGTCGGCGGTGCCGGTGGTGACCGCAGTCCTTCACTAGCCCGATGGGGTTCTACCGCGGTGCAGGCGCTTCGGAGGCAGCAGCATTTAGCGAGGAAGGACAGTGATGCTAAGCGGGAGGTACTGTCACGCTTCTTCCGAGTAAGTTGACCCGGAAGTTGATCCGGAATCATTACATTTGCGATTCCAGTTTGATTAATATCATTTTCTGTGAAAATAATCATATTTTGTTTCCTCAATACAATCGAGCGACATATTATGTTTATTTGCGAACATTTGAAGTGTTCTTCACAGTTTCTGGTAAGTTTGTATTTTTGGTCTATACTGACTTGGTCACTGTTATCAGTAGACCATTTAAGTAGTAAGTATAAATCATTGATAAATCCAGAAAAAAAATAGGGGCGGACTCCTCACCTTACCTGAAGGGCTACTACTTAGCGGCAGTATCATGGGCTGTAGACCCAGTGCGAGTTTGTTTCATTTTGACCATCGGGAAATGGTGAGGACGGGGAAGGGGCACGCAGGTATATCCTGAACAATAATTAACTTTATACAAGAAAGTTCTTACTATTCAAGTTCTGAGACATAACCGGCCACAATGAAAAGAAACATGTATAAAATGTAGATGTAAATGTTAGCCCCAAATGTACACAAACAAGAATGGTTGCCTTATTTATTACCTAGGCCAAAACATGCTAGATTGATTCATCCATAATTGAACCAGAACATTTAGATAGTCTTATAGCCATGCGTTGCCTTTTGTTTTGTTCTCAGGATGATGAGGTGAGAGGGGCTTTAGACCCGCCTTCGCCGATCCCCGAGGCAGAACATGCGAATGCAGATGAAGAAGATCGTCTAGTCACTTCGGTGTAGAACAACATCCACGGGAGTCAGCGAAAATGATGTGTACCCTTCGGAAGACAAGCACGCAAACCAACATGCGAGCAAATATTAACGAATGATTATACTTAGATGGAGACGACGAACATTGACAACCATGATGTAGAATTTTTATATGCGTATTTATACATTGTTTGGTGTAAAATATCTTGATGAATGCAACAGCTGCAAATTGCCAAATGAGTGAATTGTTATAATGATTTGTATCGATAAATGCGACACATGATGTTATTAATTAGAAATTAATGGCTGTAGAATGAAGAGATAAATATAACTCGGATATTAATCATGATATGTACCGAGCCTATGTGTACAGAACGAACAAGGATCAATGGCGTAATAACTGATTTTGCATAATGAGTAGAGACGTGTTAGAACAAAACCTTCATCGCCTTGGCGATAGCGGTCTGCTGCACACGCTGCGTCATTTTTTAACATAAGACTGCGTCAGCGACTAGCGCAGAGCTACGTCAGCGAATAGTGCAGACTTAAACGTTACCTTGTAAGAGTAATATATAACAAAGGGCGAATACAAACTCAACAGCGCAACCATTGCGTTGATTTACTGGCGCATACAGTATATTATTCTCCTTTGGGTTTATTAGCGCAGGTCGCAGCGCAATTAAAATATTGTGTGGTGCGTAACAGGCTCTAAAGTTGTTTTATGTTAGTTAGTGAATGTTTGATTCAAATTTGCTTAATTACTTCATAATACTGAAAAGAGAATGTTCAAATTAATTTCTGTTTCTTGTGATTTTTTCGGTTTTGTATGAACTAGATATTTTTTTTCCCGCAGAGAGTTTGTGCGATCGTCAAAAAGTGACTACTGACTAGTATTTATGTATTGAGTTATGATGTGGTGAAAGGGGTGGTTGAGAAAGTGAACTGTCGAACGAAATAACCTGTGACTGAAAACACATTGCAATAACCTGAAATTCCCTGCGATTAGAAGCACTTTATACGTGAAATTCATTTAATGTCCTTGGAAGAAATTATTGTACTTATACAAATAATGATATTGATGTTAGCTCAATTTAGTATCTCTTCCTATGCAGTAGGGGGGATTTTAGAGATTAATCTTGTTTGAGGGAAAAATACATGACGTATAAAGATTGTTTTGTATCGGAGCATAGGTTTGAATAGAGTATACGTTGAAAACTGGTACTCTCTATATACATATAATGCCTGCTTTTGCCAAACATAAACATTCAAAGCTATAACGATATTTACATATGCTACTTCAGTATTTATGCAATACAATGTTTAAAATAGATTTCATACAGGTATTAACAATTAAATGGATTTAACAAATGACTAAAACCGTATTTGAACCTATGAATTAAATATGTGCTTCCCTTATTAACTGATAATAACGTATTTCTATTGGTGACAACACGCTTCTTTTGGTCTATACTTGATATCAAAAATTAAATATCACATTTTTTTATTTTGAAACACAACTGTGATGTGTGTTGCATATCGTAAGAGTTGGTTTCGAAACATATAATCAGAGTAACACGGAATTAAATGTATCTTTGTTTTCCTTTCAATTTTGTCTACACCGCGTTTTGTAGTCAGTAAAGTTATCTTCAGTCTGTTTAATCTCCAATATAATATGATTTTACCTATAAATGTTAAATCGGGTTAAAAATCAGAGAGAAGAAATAATAAGGCCGACATGTGAGGTCTGTCTATAAAATAAGAATACAGAAATGAATGATTATGTGCAATCTTTGAAATATATTACTGTGAAAATGGTATATCATTTTTGTTTATCTTGTGGATACAGGATTTAAATATTGATAAATATTTATACACTACTATGCCATATACACGACAGGGTAATAATCTTAAACACAGATCATGAAATTAGATGAAACTAAATTAAATAATTCGTTCCAAAAACGTTTCGAAACAGAACTCATTTTAAAAGATAAGTATTGAGACTTCCATTCTCTATCTGACGCAAAATTTTTGAATACTGTATACCAGGTGGAAAATAATTATCTATTCAAAGCCCTTGTCAATATATTTCATGAACCACGCTGGAAATTCACTTAAAAGGTTACTAAAATGCTTGATGATATTATGGAAAGATTTCGAGAAAGACTTTCGATGGACATTAATAATGTTGAACAGTAATAGAAAAGAAAACGTGTGATGCAGTGGGCTAGGTGTTACAAGATTTTACATTTCCTTTATAAAAAAAAGTTTAGGACATGTGTCTTTTTTGTTTTCTATACATTTAGGCATTTTTATTTCTTGTATGCATTTGAAGAATAGAATTGGATATTTGCATTAATAAAATCTTGACAGAAAACAGAATTGACCAAAACAATTCACTGATTGTCTCATACTTATTGACTCGAGAAACCAATCAATGTATGTTAATAAAATAAGAAATGCAAATATTCGAATGGGCGTCGCCCACTCGAACGACGAATCAGTGAAACAAATAGAAGAAGAAGGCGACGAAATAGAAGAAGACTAAGAAGAACAAGGAGAAGAAGAAGACAAAAAAACAGAAGAAGATGAAGAAGAACAAGGAGAAGAAGTAAAAGAACAAGAAAAAAAGAAAAGTATTAAGATGAAGGAGTAGTAGCTGTAGAAGAGAGAGAGGGTGAGAGAGAGAGGGGAAAAGAGCATAGAAGGGGTTAAATAAATGTGAAAGGAGTGTTAGGTTCTTGCCCCATCCTTTCCCCAATCGATGACCTTGTTTATAAGTAGGTTCCTCCTCTCCATGATGCCTGTGTTCCTCACTGGCTGGAACACCTCTGTTTTCAAAGTTAACGGTAAGGGTCAGTGGCGTGCCCCCGCCCCTCCAATCGAACGAAGAAGGAAACAAATGGAAAGAAAAGGGAGCACGAGAAGGGGAGACGTTAAAAACATCTGCCACACCTTCTAATCAGATTCCTTGTAAGTTTGCATTTTATTGTCCGATTAAAACCACCTCTATCGTTCTAAACACCACAACCCCCTCAATGGGTCGACTAACGCTACGCCAGCAGTATACGGCATATATACGGCATGGGGACTCCATGTAAATCATCCTGTATCGAATCACTCGTTAATCCGACCGCCATCTAACCCGCCTTGTATCAATAGATCAAGAATCCTGATGCTAATTCCTGCACGTCGGATGGGAATTTCGAATTTATCATCTGACATTTGTGGTTCGTGATTTCCTCAACTGAGAGAGATGGAGGGAAAGTGAGAGAAAGGGGAAGAGGGTGAAACATAACTCTGAGTTGTGCATTTAAAATCAATGGAAAATATATACTTAAAAAGAAAGTAGGGCCCATAATGAACTGTTCATCTTGTATTTATAGCTCATGATTTCGTCAACTGAAGAGAGAGGGAGAGAGAGCGCGAGAGGAAAAGAGAGAGAGAGGAGAGATAGATAGAGGGAGGGAGGGAGTTAGAACACAACTGTGCATTACGCCTTACAAATTATGGACATTATTTACTTTAAAAGAAAGTAGGACCCTTAATAATTTAAAAAAATGCACAACCTTAATCGAAATTATCACGCTCGTGGGATGGTTCATATTATGTAGTTGCGACGATAGAATTTGTAATTATCATGCACATCATTCATGGAAGACGCGCTCCTTTTAAACAATCCCCTCCTTTTTGCTTATGCATGAGCAAATCAACGCCGCTACCACACCTTAAAAAACACAAGATGCAATATTCCTCTCACAATCTGACCTCATCCCATTTCTTACAATCTCACCTTCCTGAATATCAGAATCAGAAGATGACCCCCCCCCCCCCCCCCCCCCCTTCTCCCTCAAGCCTCATCAGAAGAGACGGAGCAGACAGTTTAATTTTCGGTGCTAATCCTTCACAGCGTCCCGCTCAAATCCCGCCAAGAAGCGCAGTGCGTGATAGATTTGGCGGCCTGCGTGCCGCCAAACGTTTCGTGTTGATCCCCTTGCCCTAGTTTACAATATTTTTTCGACTGAAGAAATGTAGAAATGGAATCGCGATGAAATCATAGGTCTATGATTCATACCCGCCTAGCTACAAACTGACTGTTGCGCTTTTGCATGTTTTTGCGCAGGTTTATTGGAACACCACCGATATTCTCTTTCTATAATGCCTACTCCCTATCTTGAGATTTTATTACTTTTTGTTTTTTTATATATTATACGGTGGATATAAGATTTACACGATAATCACTGGCATTTCGACGAAATACTCCAAACATATTTTAGCAAAATGCTCGTGTAAAATTTGAGACCACAATTCGTTTATGTATTCAAACAGGTAATAAAGGCGATATATGGGGTGTGGATGCTGTTTGATTATTTTATATATGATGGGAATCTTTAAACAAAAATACCCTTTTCCCTTTAAACGATTGCCGACACAAAATGTTGCACCACCACTCACCACTATGCTGGCGACATCATACAAGTATCTGTATAATATAACAATTATTAGCATTTACCTTACGACATGCAGAATTGTAACTCCCACCTTGAATCATTTATAGATAAAACTCAGTTATTGCTTTGTAATTTTGATTTACTATATTAAAATGCCGTATGTATCTACTTGTCCATTTTTCCAATTGATATTGATATATGTATGACATCTACTTTTTTTTTACTTAGTTTCTGTCTTCAACATGATGTAAGAGTTAAATGATACGTTAAAACGTACAATAGTCCTATTTTGCATGTATTTTCACGCTCTTGGTTTCTTAACAGTTTGTACCAGACGACGTTATTTTTTGTAATTTATGACACGGACTTAGTGGCAGATAGGCCTTGTGCTATATAAACAAGTTATCCAATAAAGTCTGCAACTACTACTACTGCTACTATATATTACAAAAGAAATATGCTAACAATTTGCCACCGTGTGCATTGGCGCATGGCGCCGCCGAATAATGATCGTAAACCTATCCTCCTGACCCGATTCGGGGGTATTTCATCATTTCAACAAAGCATACACAATGTAGTATTATATGAAGCAAAATTAGATATAAGCTGTCGAAATGACTAAAGGTATATTATGAAGTACGTTTCTGATCTTCATGCAACCCCGGATGCTATTGGCGATCTAGAGTGAGCCGCAAGTCCGGGAATGCCGCTGGACAAGCCACTGGACTAGTTCCCGTTTATTTCCAAATTTGTAACATTCGTGTATTCGTGTATTCCCCTAATGACGTGAACCTATTCCTTATGTTATTTATATAATAACAGCAATTCTTGCAATTCTGATATCGGATTCGTCATGTTTATTAGTAAAGATTCGTGGTTCATCTATCGTTGGCAATGCATTTCTTTACATTATCATGTCCTGAAACCATCTCTAATATTTCTTTTCAAATGAACAAAGATAGAAAATCACCGAGCTGTCTGCACGCGAGATTCTGATTGATCACGAAAGCGCGCCAAAAGACTCCAGCAAATTTTCTTAATTGGTCGTCTGATTTTGCAAATCAAACAGGTCCCCGACTCGTGTGCGCCTTGCACAATGGAGCGAGGCGACGCATTGAGCAAAGCACATACCAGGCATGCAAAAGGCTCTTAAAATCGGAACTCCTCAGAGAATCTTGGCATGTTGGGTGTAAAGCAGAAATCGTACGGTTTATTTGATGTTTTATAGGAGAGAAAATATGCTGAAGAAGCGATCATCCCAGACGTCTATCTCCCCCGGGAGTCAGAGGGACGGAAAGACAACATCCCTGATGGGCTGTTTGCAGAGTAAGGGGAAATTAAGAAGAGAGGAAAAAGAGGTAATCATTGGATAGACAAATATAATGCACCTGTTAATTGGATTAGTTTTTTTTTAACGGCAAAAAGCTAACGTACAAGAGGGGTAATTTTCATTGAAGGGACAAAGTTTGAGAAATGTCCACATTCGTGCCGCCTTTCTTTATAGACTTTGTCGGTAAACGCATTAGCGTCATTACTGGGGCAGCATACATTGTCATTTGACCTGCCCTGCTGATAAATGATAGAAACAACTTCAGTCATGTTCATAATGTAGCCCCACCTACATTTCTCAACAATTTAAATTGAGAAATTATAAAAACGAAAACTGAAAATGAAAACAAATCAATTAAAAGGACAAAGAAATGACCATAAATTTTGGACGGAACTTGTAGATTTTTGTGTGGAATCCTTTTCTGAATTGAAAGTAAAGATGTTGGTTTGCTTTTTGCCTATCTGATTCTATTAATAGTAGGTCTACAATTTTGAGTGTTGGGATGTTTGATGTTGATAGTAATCTAGATTCTAGATACATTATAGTAATCAATTCATGCATTCTGTATCTAGGCACTGTACAGATTACAAAAGTCATCGGATTTAGACCTTCCAGCACGCAATGTATGCACATTCTCCGCTCCCTGGGAAGGGGGATTCCCGCAAGGCAGCATTTTACAGAGGTGCAAAATTGTTGAATTCACCACAATAACTTTGGTTTCCTACCGTGTAACCATTTAAAACCTGGGTGGAGAGAAGCTTGGCAAATAAAATCCTTGTTTGAGGTGATAAGCCATGTTTTTTGGACCTCTAGTCACATATTTATTCCATCCAAACAGTGACATATCCAGACATAGGCCTCAGAAGGGGCAGAACATTACTGTAATCCTTATAAGTAGGGCACTAGTTTTCAATACTGAGGGGGCTGGGCGGGACGGAGCGTCGCCTATATTGATTTATTTGAGAAAGAAACAATAAGTTTCATGACAATGTCTACACTACATGCGTCTCTTGACTTTAATAAAGTTATTCCTGACCTAATTTCTAAAATGGACATAGATAATTCATCGAACAATGCCTGGTTAAATGTAAATATTTATTTAAAGAAAATTCTTTTTTTGGAAGAAAGTAATTATTTGGAGATTCATCCTCAATCATGTGATCTAGTTTCTGATTTGTTACCATCAAATCTTCTGATACATTAATAGTTTTAAGAGTATAGAGTCAACGACTCGCACCCGAAATTACTTCTTTTTTTAAGCTGTTGAACGGGAAACTTAATCCCTGATTCGATGTCCTACTCCTAATATTATGGGTTTATATAGCGATTAATACATCAACGGTATCTCTAACTACTTTACCTATCTCATTTTACCCCAGTCATCGGTTTGCATACACTCATTTTATGTATATTATAACGCCAAAAAAGGTGCACCCCTATGGATAATAAAGAATTGGAGATATTTTTCATCAAAATTGTATTAACTGTCCGGTCAACCAGTCAAGAGAGTCAATTTTAAAATAATACGGGGGATGGGAGGCTGGGCTTTGTAAAACAGTTACCCGATGGACTCCCCCATGAAAAAAAAATTAATTCTGCCCCTCCTTTTACTTT